GGAATACATCTGTTGAATTCGGTTCTCTAGGATCAGACTCGTATCCGACCCAAACTAACTTTGATAACAAAAACGACCTACATATAAAAATCGCGAAAGCAGCTACTAGTTTGTATTGAAAGAATTTCAAAAAACCTGCATCGAATTTATCCTTATAAAAGTAAATTACATTAAAAATATATATGAGAAGGGAAATGACACTCTTACTCTAAAAAACTGTCAAAACAGATTTTAAAAAATGTATAATATAATGATAATGATAAACCTTTATTCAACTGTCAATGTTTTAAGCCCAGATGGACTAATTGGGGGCACCAAAAAAATAGCAACACTAATTAACATATGGTACTTAAAAAATTTGATTATTGATCATGGAAATAAACTAATCTCAATTGGACCACAGGTAAGCATAAAATCTTGCGAAGCTAAATTAACACTTAACCTCTGTTAGGCGGCGGGCGAAGGCTTTTAGAAGGGTAACTGCGAAAAAACTTGTTGCAGGTAAACGCGGATGAACTTTTAGCGATACCTAGCGCTAGAAATCAAACGCGGGAAGAACTGTAGACAAAGGAAAACGCAGGAAAATCTGTAAACGGTGTCAAGTGCGTATTGACTTGTAGACAAGGTAGAGTGCGGGTGAAATTGTGGCAATGCCAAGTGCAAGAAGTTTTATTGGTCGCAAGCTTGGGGAGGAGTGACAAGTAAAAATAGAAGCGGGGAAAAAAAGTAAATCATAGATGCTACCTGTACGATTGTTATGTTCAATGCTTGACGTATAAATCAAGAAATGTTTAGTTGCCAACTTGTTCGCCGTTTTGGAGTGTTGATGTGTTTTTCTTTTTTGTTTCTCGTCAGGTACTGAAGCAGGAATTCGATTCTATTTGGACGAAATAGTCTCAATCACGTGTCCAGCTCTGACGTCACAATCATGGACAACTAGGGCCCAAGCCGCCGTGACGATTTCTGCCGTGGCGCAAAAGCTGGGTACGATTGTCATTTATGACGAATTATAATAAATGAACCTTGTTGGATCTCAGAAGTTGCATTTCCTGTTTTCCAGGTTCTTCTCTCGGTCAGCCTTACCTTGGTAAGTTGCTGAGTGCTCTAGTCAGCGGATTATCTGGAAGAACATGGACGGGCAAAGTAAGTGCGTGTGTTTCTTAAAGAGATTAATTTATGAAGAAAATGGTATTTTTGTGTTTACGACTTACTGTATTCAAGCGGCGTTTTGGTGTCAGTATTTGAAACCTAAATTCTATTTTTGTTTTGTTTTTTGTTTTTCATCGAAGAAGACTTAAATAATTTGTTGGGTAAGAAAGTGCATAACACTAATAGTCTGTTTATTTGTTTACGTATTCCATGAACGTCAACACTTGTACATAGAGAGATTACTCCTTGTATGTAGCCTTGCGCTACATACAATACAAAGATTGGTAACCATGTTTATATTACTATTAGAACCTAGCATGCAGTACAAGTGCCCCTGGATTAAAAAAAAGTGATCATTTCCTCATTCGATTGCGTTTTTGTTCTTGCCCAAAATGCTTATCGAACGTGAACCATTACAAGCAGCATGGCAGAGTTGTGAATTAATACGTTTAACTCAAATTTTTTGCCCAATTAGGTTTTGTTTAGGAATCTGTACTGTCTGCAGTATCCTGTGTTTGTATCAAGTGCAGGTATAGCAATCAGACTTTGCACGAAGGACGAATGTAACTAAACGCCATATTTCAGTATGAGCAACAGCTTTCATCTAGGTGTCGAATATAATCCAGAATTATATTCAATTGGTTCTGGTCGGCTGTGTTCCACACTATGTCAGTTACAAAACTTAAACCAATCACTGCTCTTTTATTTCCATTTTTCTCGCGCCTGTTTGCAGTCAAGTGTAGTTCCCTTAGTCCTGATCAGCTCTAATTGCTTTGGGGTTAGGCTCTACGATACACAAGCAGCGATAGATTATCGGAGCCAATAGCTCCATGGCGGTCTTTTTAGTGATTTACAGTTCATTATTTAACGCGTTCCCAGGGTTTTTGTTCATTTGAATGAACACCTATGATAAATCCATAAATATTCCACATGGTTATATGTTGCAAGATGTAAATACAGATATTTCTCTTATTTGAAATTGCTCTTCGTCACGCTATCATCTAATATTTCTGCCAAGCCGTTCCTGAAAATAATTTTTAAAGGGAGTTCACTGAAACTGAGCTGTTAACGTTAAGCTCTGCCCTTTCCTCTTTGTTAAATTTAAGTTATACTTTTTTCACTAATATTTCTCTTTTAGGAAGTCAATAGAAGACTCATCTCCAAGAGTTGATCCAGATATTGAGAAAGTAAGATAACGAGAAATTTGGATTTATATGTGA